ACAGGAAACCTACTGGCCTGATTTTCATGAGACTGAAAGGAACCAAGGAAAACCTTTTAGCTTTGGAGCGGATCCAGAGCACGTGGTGGATACACTAACTGTTTCTCTCTAACATTGCAGGGCGATCCGTGCTCTGAGTGCACCACCCTGTTCGGTCAGATGGTCCAGAAATATGTAGCTGCTTTTTATTTAATGTGTAGTTATATTTGCATACCTACACAAGTAGACAGTTGTATAACAAGTTGATCCGGAACATATTTCAGTTAAATGAATTCCTATATCAACATTGAGGCAGATGAAATAAAAACACATATTAGAAATGAATCACAAAACATTTATGTATTTTGAGGTTTTAACCACAAATATCCCAGATTTCTTTATCTCTCTAGCTGAAATAATAGTTGGAATGATAATACACATTTTAAATGTTTAAGATTAAATGTATTTTTACCCATACATTCTATGTATTCTCTTATCGCAGCTTATTCAGTATGAGGATTTGCTGCTTTTCTGTAAACTGGATATCTTAAGGATTCGGCCGGATCAAACAAGGTATTTAAAAATATTAAGACATCGTTTACAGTTTTTTGCTGTTTCGATAGACCAAATATGAAAAGATCTGAAGATAAACCAAAAATGTAAATAGATGCAGCCTCATTTTAATAGTTCAGTAGACAAATATATGAAGAAAGTCACTCAGCAGTTGCCAGAACAGAGTTGCATTTTCAATTAGCTTGTTTATCCCAACCAAGAAAACAAAAATACTCAGTTCACTGTCATTATACAAACAATACAAACAAACGTCAAATCGTCCAGAAATTGTTAGGCATTTCTTAAAGTGATTTAAACAATAAACCTTTATAATCATTGCAGATTAACAATTGAACTTTAATCCTTCCCATTCCATGAAATGTTTGTTCTTCCTGATCATATACCTGCAGCCCCTGTGCAGCAGATAAAAAAAAGTCTCATCTCCTTTTGAAGAGCAGCAGCTTTCTGTCCCAGGTGGTGCTGCCGAAGCTCTGGATGAGCTCCATGCCACAGTGTCTCTCCAGATGCTCCCTGGCCTGTTCTGCTACGTCCCCGCGGATCTTCAGGCTCTTGAAGTGGTCAAAGTCTGAGCGGCCCAGCTTCCTCAGCCTCCGGGCTGCAGAGCGGTAGCACTTCCAGGGCTGAGCCTCCAGCAGGAGGTGCTGGCTGATGGAGGCCAGGTGGGAGAGCAGCTGCAGCAGGCCGGCGTCTCCGTGGTTCAGGTGCACCCACATGGTGACGGCCAGGCACAGACACAGGTGGAAGTGGGAGCCGCCGTGCTGGTTGAGGTAATCCTGCAGCTGGTCAGCGTCTTTGGTGATGTCCAGAGGGATGAAGGAGATGCTGCTGGGCAGAGGGTTGCTCTGCTGAGCCCGCTGGATGAGAGTCTCATCCAAGTCGAAGCCCAGGAGATTAACTTTCCTCCTGTCTGACTCTTCTTCAGACACAGGCACCAGATGTTTGTAGAAGGCCACACTCAGATCCTGTCATTCACAGGGGAAGAAAAAGGAGAAACAAATAATGTAAAATGTGGATTCAAATTATATTCAGAGTATCAACATAATTCCCAAAGATGCGATGATGCTGTTCTGGATTACCATATACATCAGAGGCACTTGGTACAAAAACATAACATTACTTTGAACTTTTACTCAAGTAACAGAAGCAACAATACAATGTAAAAATACACTGTCGTGCATTTCAAATCTTATCTTACTGTCCAAAAAAGAACATGAGTATTAGCGTCGAAATACAACTAAAGTACCATAAGTTACATTATAAGGAATGGCTGATTTAAAAATAATAAAGCTGATATATGAGGGGTTTATATCAATATCTGTATACAATGTTGGGAGATTCATCCATAAAAATACAATATAACTTATATTCTATTTTGAATTAAAAAATATGAATCTGTAAAGTGAATTAATGTTGCCAAAAAAAAATTGTGAAGTAAAAAGTTGAATCTTTTCATGTGAGATGTAGAAGAATATAAGTATAATTAAATAGCATCAATTGGTACAATTACAAGTAAGTACCTCAACACTTTTATAGGGACAGTTTGTGTATTAAAATGAGTTTTCACTATAGGATCAGTCTACCTTCACATTTTTTTTAAAAATACATGAAATACTGACTTTTGATTGAATACTATATTATGATTTATTTTATTATTTCTTAAATGCCTATTATATGACTTTTTTTGGAGAGACGAAGACTATGACAGATATTTTTAAGGACATATTATACCATCATTGTTTTTATGGAAACGTAATGAATGCTGTACTTTGACTTTTAATATGTTTCACATAGTTTATGTTATACTGTTAATTATTGTAATGGCATATAAATGTATGAATTGTAAACAGACTAGGAGTTGAACATGTTGTGTAATGTTGTCTCAACATGTGATGAATCCCAATCTACTTGAAGAATTATATTATAAGGAATATTCCAGACCAAACGGTTAAACACAGATGTGAAGAGTCTCATACCCCAGAGTTACAGCCCACGTCCAGGATCAGTGTGTTCTGAGGGCCGTCTTTGAGGCCTAAGTCCTGCAGTAAAGTGGCGGGAATCAGACTCAGACGGTTCTCCGGAGGATTGAATGTGTAATAGTTGATAAAGTTGCCATAAGGAGCGGCTCCTGGGTCATTCATTTCTTCAACTTCAGCTATATCTACCGAGCATGTTGCCATCGTAAAGAGTGCGCCTTCAAAATACGTCCGGGTAGAAAACATGAGGCTGCAGTCATATTGCAGTTCCTGCTTAGTTTGTGAAAACCATAGACTGTGAAAACACCAAAACACCAATATAATACCTCATGGAGGCATTTAAATGTTCATGGTGTAGATACATGTTAATAAAAAGAGAGAGCTGTGTCAGATATTTGACAGTCTTTAATACGTTTAATGATTTTGTTTTACAGATTATACTTATTGTATAATACAGATTAGCCTATATTTATTGTATAATGTGTATTACTGCATCTTAAAGTGATGAAAAGAGGTGTTTTAAAGAGTAGTAATACAAAGCTTCATTGATTTGAAGTCACATGGGACCATTGGAAAAATGTGAGACTTAATAAAGAAAACAACTCCTGCCTTTTCTCAACACTGATAATTAAAAACTAAAATCTGTGTCGTACTTGCCCACTGTTCTTATCCATGGTCCAGTGTAGTAAAAACAATGCTACATTATATTACATGTACATGATATGGAAGCTATTGAAAGATATTGACATTAAATGAGACTTTTCCATAAGGAAACTTCTTCAAATGGCAAAAACACAAAAAAAGTGTTGTTGTTTTTAAATGTCGTTATACATCATATATAATGATGTTGTTTAAAGCATTGTAAACGCATTTTCATTATATATTTCCAATGTATTTTATAACATTGTGTCTGCTCCAGGTCAGCAGGGGGCGCTCTGTAGCTTTGCTCACAGATTTGCCTGAAGAAGAGAAAAGTCCCCTCAGTCTTTCCGTATCTTACGAAAGCGAAGGTTAGTTAGCTTGGGTGCTAACTTCACATGTCTGTGTGCTGACATTAAGGACAACTGCGACATCACTACCTGCGATTTGTATCGCTTTCGATATAAAAAGGTAAAATAACATTTCATTAAGTTCTTGCTCTTAGTTCTACGTGTTTTTAAGATGACCAAATAGTAAACTAACTTGTATAGTAACACAGCTAAACGACCGCTCGCTCGCTAGCCTGTAGCGATCAAGGGGAAATGTATGATTCTAGCAAAAGCAACAGTATATGGTTTAAACTAAGCATATTTAACATAATGGACTGTTAAAAAAACTCCGAATAGTTTAATTTGCTTCACATTATCAACAACTGCTACAGATAGCTTGGTGTGAGCGAGCAGTCTCAATGATATCAGCCTAAATAATCAGTTTTATTTAAGGTTATAAGAACAAACTCAAAATTACCTGCAAATCTGAGCAAGCTGTGTTTGGCTCAAACATGGCTGTTTTTTCTCAAATTAAAATTAGTTAACAATACAATAACAATAAGTATATAAATACAACTAACAAAAGCTTGTATCAACAAGCTTTTGTTAGTTGTATTTATATACTGATATATACATGTATCAATCAGTACCTACAACTGTCATAAATGTAGTAAGTAGAGGAGAATTCCCCTCTGATATGCTTGGGGTGTAGTAAAAGTATCTTTTGAACATTATCTATATTAAAAAGGCGGTGTATTGTGCCCCAAGAAAAGTAAACTTAAAAAAAGGACCTAAAACGGTCATAGTATGTCACAAAAAAAGGTCTGGATATCGCCATTATATCATATTCCTGGTATATTTTGTCTATAACAATCCTACAATAAATACCATGACAGCCCTAATGCCCACCCCTGTACTACCTGAGTAAAGTCATTTTCTATCTCTACTTTTTGTACAGTATTTTGATGCTGAACTTGCTCTGACTTTGTGTCCTTCAGGATCCTCAACATGGTGTCTGGGAAGCGCATCGCCGACTTCGGCTACAGGACGTTTACTGCCTCGATGATGCTGCTGTCGGTGTATGGAGGCTACATGTGTGTGATGCGAGGGTACCGCTTCGCGCAGAAGCAAAAGCAGCTGAAACTGGCTGCAGAAAACCAGGAGGAACTCCTCAATGAGTGACATGATTCTTGTTTTTGCACATGTGGACATTTCCAATTCCTCCCTTTTCTTTTGGTCCGTCGCTAAATCATGAAGATTCATTCTTCTCAGGACATTAAAGTGATTTCTTTGTGTGGGTATTGTGCCCTCTCAAGCAAGATGTTGATTATAAAAATGTCATCAAGCAAAATCAAACAAGAATATATTGCTTCAAAGGCTTCTGTAAAATCCACGTTGTGAGTGTATCAGAAAAGAGGATGGCTACAATTGTTTGTATTGTAATATATTAAATGCTTTAACCACACAAAGCAATGTTGTATTCATAAACATGACGCCATCACGAAAGACATTTTTCAACAACAGAATATATTTGGAAATATTTTTACAAGGAACTCAATTGAGAATGTGATACGAGACATTTAGTAAAGTCCTCATACCTGGATTCCTATAAAGGCAGTGGCAAACAATTTCATACACATTTGGTCTCAGAAGAAGTAGTACAAAAACACTGGAAATAAACAAGTAACAAAGTAGCTTAACAACATTGTTAAAGGAAAAATCCACAATACATCGCAGTAGGCAAACTCTTCTCTCGCAAACGCCTCAAGTGTTTACTTCTGTTCATACAAACAGCAGGTGCATATTTTAAAAGCTGATAAAACCACAGCTATAATAAGTTACTTATACCGTATTACAGTTAATTATACATAAAATACCTGCTGTTACATCACAGATTGAAAATACAACACAATTAGTGTTTTCTGCCCTTTGTGATCCAGTGTGATTTAACCCTTAACTGAAAAATAATGAAGTTCATCTGACCAATAAAACTGGGAGAGAACATTAAAACCAATCAACATCTGCAGCCAAACTCGGCACAAAACCAATCCCATCGTTTGAAAAATAAGGCTATACAAAACACTTGCTTCAACAGATCTCCATAACGTTTCCGCTTTTACATGTCACCTCTGGAGAGGTGTCGTACATGTCATTACGAGGCTCTTAGCAGATATCAGTGTATCCATCCTCAGTGTGTGTCGGTGTAAGCTTTGAACGTCAAAGACACACAAAGCACGTATTACATATTATGGGATGAACTGCTGGGGGCTCCCAGCCTCGTGTCACCAGCTGCTGTGGTTCTGCACTCGAGCTTTGGCAGCAGCACAGTGGCCGTTAGTGCCGTTTTCTCCCTTGGGAGAATGAGAGAAAGCCTTCGGACCCTCTGTGGGCGTGTCAGGCTCGTTCTCTGAGCTGCTCTCAATGTCACTGCGGACATCGTTGCACACCTAGGAAGCAGATGGAGCAGGAAACAGGATATTATTGTTTTGAGAGAAATAAGCTCAAACTACAGATGCTAATCAAATTAGCTCTAACACAGCTGTCCCACTCAAACTACACTGAATCGCTTAAAAAAATGAACAGGAAAGATGGAATCAAGCTGTGTGAAAGGTATTACAGCAGAGGGAGTCAACAGAAACTTACAGTGAGAAAAATAGATGGTAAAAGGTCTCAAGCGGAGAAAGCAAACGAAGAAGAAGCGAGAGGAGTGGAGAAGGGCTCATCGGACAAAGAAAGACAGAAAGACAGGATATCCCTCTCTCAACCCAGAGGGAGAGGAAACAAACAGCGTCTGCAGAGAGAACGACAGAGTCAGGCACAGCTCAGAGAGAAGTGCAGACGCAGCAAATTCATCACCAAAAAGCCTAATGGGTTCAGGACATTGATTGATTGATTTTGTGTTCCTTTTGCCCCTCAAAATCAATGTTTTATTTTCCACAGGGGGTTGGGACATTTGTGTTCATCTTTGCTTAAAAGAACATATTATTTTGAATCCTGAAATTCATTTATAGCCATTCATTTAGGCCACTTCGAACAAAGTTTGAGCTGCTCAAAACCTAATGAAATGATAGAAACTAAAAAGGTAACAGACAAGTAAGAAGACGTTTGTTTATTTGCAGGTTTTAGTAGCTGCAGGAAGGGTATTGATTTGTATGATGTCAAGTCCTTCAGCAGGTCCATACTGCAACATATTCCCTCAAATAATCTAGAAAATAAGGATTTAGTCAACAAAATGTAAAGAAATATTGTTTACGTTTCGGAGAGACAAGGGGATATCTTGTAATGTATTGTTATGCAACTATATAACATTAGGCAAACAAATAAGCAAATCTTCAAATTGATAGGCTGGAAGTATTGAGTGTCAAAATAGTTGGGCATTAAACATTTTTCTATCAGATCAACGAATGGTTTAATTGTTTTACTTTTACATCATATTATTACATGAACTCTCAGTAATGTGTGTGATGTGACCCACCTTGCCCCTCAGCACGGCTTTGACAGCTATACGGGCTATGAGGTAGGACCAGATGATGTGCAGCACTTGGAGGACGAGCAGTAAGAAGTTGAAGAGCCACCAGGAGGGGTACGGCCCCACTATGGCCCAGCTCTCAAACATAGTGGAGTTCAGGACCCTGGGGCAACAATGAGACAAACAGATGCGTGATCAAGCTGCACGTTAACCATATTATTAACCAGCACTCCCCTAATGAGGCCCTTTATAACAGCACACAATGTAACTCCCATTTGGATGCCATGGTGACCAAGCAGGCAAGTAACATATCTCGAGTGTAGTGTTAGGTGATTGGATGGTGAGGTCACGTCTTCCTTTAAATCTGTGTGAGTGACAGGAGGTTGTCAACAGACCCACATCCCCCAGCAGAGGTTCGGATTTCAGTGCAGGTCGCTGCAGCTCTACACTCATCACACCAAGACACTGAATATAGCTGCTCAGGTTACTGCCGTCAATGATAGGTTCCCTATTGTCTCTCTCCCTCTCTCTCTCTCTCTTTCTCTCTCTCTCTGGACGCCTAGCTTCAACATCCAGGCCTCCGTCTAACCACCTCCATTTAAAGGGATACTACTTTGAAGTGGGGTCGTTTTAGGTTCTAATGTATGGCCAGTAGATGGTGGTCAGCACACCCTAAACTCAGAGACGGACAGGAGTACCAGCACAGGAGCAAAGCAGTACATTGCTGTGCATGGGGCATACTTATTTTAGCCAACTAAAATAAACCACATCTAAAATAAAGTGTTTATCAAATTGAAAATATTTTCTCTGCTTTATCTTGCCATCAGACTCTGCTAACAAAAGCAGTAATTTTACCTCGGGGGTTGGTGCTCTACTGCTGCCTCGAGGTAAATTACTGCTCTTGTCAAAGCAGTATGGTGGTTTTGAAGAGAGCATAGCTAATGGTTCCACAAAAGGCTGCCTGATGGCAAGGTAAAGCACTTTGAATGGCTAAAATAGGTTTTGCTGTGCACAGCACTTTTTTTATTTACTTGCTTGCCGTTTATTTCTTCAAACTGGGTGTGTGCCGACCGCCATCTACTGTGACTAAGAAAGAGTACCTCATACAACCGCAGTTAAAATTATCTTTTAATTATTTTAAGACCAACAATTAGGAGACATCTCTGCGGTGCTTTGAGCAATTACTAAAATAATAATGAAACTGTTAATCGTCCTGGAAATGGCCTCATATGAAGGTGGTAGTTGTATAACTTATTCATAGCATGGCAGTCTTCACCTTGTTTTCAGAGTACAGGCCGTGTGCTACTGCTTACCACTGTTACTGAATACAAGATACTGTTTGTATTGAAATGTTCATAATTTAAAAATCCAAGCACTGGATTACATTGTTTTCTCTTCAAGCCTTTGCTAACTATAATAAAGCTAAACGACAGTGTTATGCACACAATTACCAAATTAATGTAAGCCACCTTTAAAGCTATAGCTTTATAATAATTTCTTGCTAAAATAAGATATTATGCATTAATCAAACTCAATATTATGTAGTATTATTTACTGTGAGGTTGAAGGTGTTATTGAAACTCACCATATTGGATAAATAACTAGTCGTGTGATGAAGAATGCCACACTGAACACAATGAACAGGAAGTCACACAGGCGCTGGTACTTGGCATAGTTCGCCAGCTTGGCTAGCTGTAGAAAAACAAATGACAGAAGCAACAGTTAATGATATGTTTAATGAAGAGTTTTGTTTCATTACCACATATTCCTGGGTTCACACAACTAGTCTGTTTGGTTTGCAGCCAAGAGGAAGTGAACTAACAATAACTATTCATCTCCATCGTTTAAAAGAAAACTGACTTGAAACCAAAAGGCTACTGGACAATATACTAATAAGAAATGACTGTTGTACATGTAGAAGTGTAGGCTTCACAACACCTGTATCAATCAATCAATCAATGTTTATTTATATAGCCCAATATCACAAATGTTACATTTGACTCAGTGGACTTCACAGTTTGTACAGAATATCAGTATGACAATACGACACCCTCTGTCCTTAGACCCTCACATCGTACAAGGAAAAACTTCCAGAGAAAACCCACAGTTTAAAGGGAACATGGGAGAAACCTCAGGGAGAGCAACAGAGGAGGGATCCCTCTCCCAGGACGGACAGACGTGCAATAGATGCCGTGTGTAAAAAGCAGTAACGTGTTTCTATATCTTCCTCATCTTTCCTTTATATGTTTAGAGTTGGTGTATCAGCATGTTGGCAAAACACCCTTTTTAAATCACATTATATTCTCAGTCAAAAAAGATGCAAATAAAAAGTAAGTATAAGGTATGAGATGAGAGGATTATTCAGGTTAGTTGAAAAAAAAAAGAATTGGTGTTTAACTTGAATATAAGTGTGTGATCACCACCGTGTCTGACTGACCTCTAGCAGGAAGTCGGAGGCGTCGTGTACGCACATCACGAGACTCCCTACTCGCGTCATGTTGTTGACGTAAGAAAAGCTGATCAGACCAATCGTCGCCAGGTGATGGATGAACATTATCATGAAGTCCTGAAGTCAAAGGTAAGAAGGATGGTTACATATGTGTACACCAAATGTTTACCTGTAAACATGTTCACTTGTTTTAAGTGTCTTTTTAACACAATTACCACTTCTTTGTTTTATTTGAATCATTGTTTGCCATAAAGTCATCGTATAATATGTAATAAAAAACTGCCATTAAAAAATAATAGTGTAGTACTCCATACATTCTTACTATCACTGAAAAGTCATATTATGGTATGCCATAAAAGTCATACAGTAGTATAGTTTGTAATATGAATCACAGGATATTAGGCTAAAAGCTAAATATCAGAAAGAATTTGCCAAGCATTTAGACGGCTCGATATAATACATTTTTCAAATAAACAAACAAAAGCCTGATGAAAAGCAGGAGAAAGGGAGGATCACATTTTGTAGCAGCATGTCATGTGCTCATATGTTCTGAATGCAATCAACATGGTCTCTTTACTCTTTTGCATGTGAATGGTCTGCAAAGGCTAGAATACGCAGCCATTGGACTTTTTTGTTCACTTCCGTGACTACAGTGACATCACTACATAACACCCACAAGTCTATTGGCTAGCGCTCCAACACATTGTATGCTAAGGGTAAGGACATCTCAAAGCGATTGACCAATCAAAACAGAGCCGACCAGCTAACCAATCAGAGCAGACTGGGCTCTGGTTTCAGACAGAGGGTGAAAAGAGGTGCAGCACAGGCAGTATGAGAAAGATAAAGAGCTTTTTGAACATTAAAGCATGGAGACATGTCACAGTAGAGACACAATACAATTATGAACCTGAAAATGAGCATCATAGTGCCCCTTTAAGAGTAGAACAGGTAGTGCTGGATTCATAGAGCCAGAAGATATGACGAAAATATTAACGGAACAACCTGAGACACATGCAGAGACTTGAGAGCAACGACAGGATTTCATATGTGTTGGTATGCATGTTCTGAATTTCTTATTTGACCTTTCTATACTGTATCTTTCACTTTTTTGTTGTTTCACATTACCATTTGTATTTGAACCTTTATTACTATTTTAGTTTTATAAACATATTTATATATTATTTTTCTTATCTTCGCCATTGTGTTAATCCTTTAACATCCCTTCAGATATCAATAAAAGCTTATCTGATTGTATCTCTTAATTCAACCTCCATCCATCAGTTTTAATGTTAGTCTCCACAACAGCACTTCTGAAGGAAACATGACCACATGTGGACATTTCTGCACAAGATCGGCAGACTAATCTTGTAGGATTTTAAATACTGAAGTTTAAGCGAGAAATAATTTGAGAGTTTGCAAACACAGTGACATGTTTTGTATTAGAACCTGAAAAGTGTATTGAAGTTTATTGAAGTCCTCACTGTTTGCATGAATACCTGCTCTTTTGCTTTTCTTGGGCATATTCACTACCTTTGTGGTGTGGGGCAAACTGTAAAGTAATTACAATGCAACTCAGCTGAGGAAGAGCAGTGAGAATCGCCTGGGGGGGATTTCCATTTAGCTTCATAAACACAACTCTACTTTAGTCTAGTTTTCCAGCTTCACATTCCTGATAGTTGCCATCTGATATGTCTAAAACATTCAACAGCAAATGTCTGCAGCTACTAGCTCCACCTCTCATATGCTGGAATTTATGTAATTCCAACAGAGTTAGGCCTGCTCCATTCTGAAATCACATGACTGTGGGTGCCCTCGTGCTGAAAATACAAAGCATTCACAGACGGAGCAGTACCAGCTCCACCACGCCCCCCCTCTCACAAAATTAAACATGTGACCTTCAAAAATTAACCCAAATGTACGATCTTGAAACCAAGCTAATTTAGCAGCACTTTTGATATTGATGCACTATCACTTATGTGCATACAACTGAAACACTTTGCAACACACATATACATAAATACTCACAAATATATTTCTGTCATGGAACAATAAAGGTATTAATGAAAGTTTCACATTGAGCAGCAACTCTGTGGATCCAGTGTGTGTAACAGTCATGTGGTTTCACTCACCTTTCTTTTAATGTCAGTGAACTGGGAGAACATTAGGGACCAGTAGAAAGCCAGTTCTGTTACATAGTAGTAGTAAAGACCCGGAGTCATGACCTGAAGAGGAAGAAAGGTGAGACAAGTTCAAATTAGAGTTTTATTATTTGAAAGTATTTATTTGACAGTGTTAAAAGGGAAAGAATGATGTATGGCCACCACTGTGCAACACATCCTGTCCCGGTGAGTCACCATGAAGTTAATATATCATAAAGCATGAGAAGATGTGCCGTCCAGTGAAATGTGTTATGTATGTTATGTGTCTTAATCTGGTTCATCTCATAACAAAAGGCAGATCTGCCATAGTTCATAATTGATGAACTACATTTGAATTGATAGCTTTGATATGGAAAATCTGAATGTGAATCTGCAGCGTGAGTTTTTATATGATTGAAATGTTACCAGTGGTCTGTGAATGAGATCTGCAAAAGAAAGTTAGCCGACATTATAAACCCAACAAAGAAACTGCATGATATTAAGACGGGATAAAATAAGATGAGATAAGATGGTTCTTTATTGATCCCTGTAGGGATGCAGGTGTCACAGCAGCAACAGAATGAGAAAGAACACAGATAGTACATATATTAACTGCTTTTTATAACATACTATAATTTATACAGGGAATAGGAGAAAGACTGTGAAGGTAAAGCAGATACTTAAAAGTTTCTAAAGTCAGATTCTCTGCCATTTACTCAACTGTTAAGTGACAGGTAATAATTATGAAAGCCTATTTACGCCATTAAAAGAGAAATGAAGATGAAACCTAAGATCTGTTTTTAATCTTTAAGTCTGTATAAAAAACTTTTTTTTAATTATAGTTTTGTATTTCAGAAGAATACTCAAAATATTGAGAAAACATTTTATTATTTCGAAACACTATGTCATTATATTGAGATATTACACATGTTGTAATGACTTACAGGATGTTCTTTTTAAATCATGGTCTTTTCTGGCTTTCCTTGGTCAACTGAGCACCCGAAATACCATTAGGCGCGTTCACACCGGAGTACTTTTCCCGTTTAGTTCCGTTAGTACCTCTTATTTTGCATTTACACCAAAAAGAGTACTTAGTGCCGGGAAATGTTACCCCCATTTTAAGTGCCTGCTAGAGAGGTGGTACTATCCTGGTGAGAAAAAAGTACCAATTTCTATTGGCTGGGCGAATTGCAAACCCCGTAAAACTCTGAAAAGTTTTGTGAAGCCGCCATTGTATTTGCTGGCATTAGCATTATTAGCCTTAGCATTAGCCCCGCGCACCAACGGAGAGAGAATAACTTATGGCAACACAAAAAATAACATGGGAGCGGTGGAGATGAGGAGGTGTCGGCGTTCTGCTGGGAGTCGCCGCAGCTTCTACTGAAGCCAGTCCCCAACTCCGGGGACTTCCGGCCGGGAATTCGGGTGGCAGTTTACGCCGTGAAGTGGTTTGGGCCTGCCAGTAAACCCAAAGAAGAAGAAGAAGAAGAAGAAGAAGAAGAAGAAGAAGAAGAAGAAAAGAATACAGAAAAGAGAGAAGAAGAGATAAGAAGAAGAAGAAGAGAAGAAGAAAAGAATAGAAAAGAAGAAGAAAAGAATAAGAAGAAGAAGAATACTAATAAGAAGAATAAGACTAAGAATAATCCTCCTCCTCCTCCTCCTCCTCCTCCTCATCCTCCTCCTCCTCCTCCTCCTCCTCCATCCTCCTCTCCTCCTCCTCCCTCCTCCTCTCCGCCTCCTCCTCCTCCTCCTCCTCCCCTCCTCCTCCTCCTCCTCCTCCTCCTCCTCCTCCTCCTCCTCCTCCTCCTCTCCTCCGCCTCCTCCCTCCTCCTCCTCCTCCTCCGCCTTCCTCCTCCTCCTCCTCCTGCCTCCCCTCCTCCTCCTCCTCCTCCGACCTCTCCTCCTCCTCCTCCTCACTCCTGCCTACCTCCTCCTCCTCCGCTCCTCCTTCCGCCTCCTCCTCCTCTCCTCCGCCATCCTCGCTATCCTCACTGCTCCGCCTCCTCCTCCGTCCTCTCCTCCTCCTCCTCCGCCTCCTCATACCTCCTCCTGCACTCACTCCGTCCTCTCCTTCCTCCTCCTCCTCCGCCTCCTCCTCACTCCCCTCCTCCTCCTCCTCCGCCCTCCTCGTCCCAGCCTCCTCCTTCCTCCTCACTTCCTCCTCCTCCTCTTCCTCACCTCCTTCTCCTCTCTCCTCCTCCTCCTCTTCCTCCTCCTCACATCCTCCTACTCCGTCCTCCTACCTCCTCCTCGACTCCTCCTGCCGCCTCCTCTACCGCCTCCTCTGCCTCCTCCTCCTGCCTCCATCCTCACTCCTCACTCCTCATCCTCCTCCTCCCTCCCCCCTCCTCCGCCCCTCCTCCTCCACCTCCCCTCAGGGAACTTATTCCGGTGTGAACGCGATCTGTACTTAGTGCCATGGGGGTACTAAGTGCCGGGCACTAAGTGCCAGGCACTAAGTGCCGGCACTAAGTACAGCAAAGTACTTGGTGTGAAAGCGGCTATACAATCCAAACAGTTCAGTTGTTTACTTTGTTCAATGGTAAGCTGATTAGATAAACAAAGACTGGAAGTGCATCATACCTGATAGGGATAACCGTACCAGCAATGCCGAGTATCCCACATCCAAGGAGTCTACAAACAAACATGGATTAGTTCAGAAAACAATCCAACCGACTGATATCTTTGGGAATATTCCCATCCAATAAAAAATTATCAATGAGAAAACAAACAATCACATCTCATTTCTCCTCCGTGTTTATAAGTGCTTCCAAGCTTGATCTGATTGTGTGCTCACCTGCCACAGAAACCGGAACCCATAGGTAAATATGCACAAATAAAATGTAAACCTCCACCTACGAGTGAACAAGAAGGAATTATGATCCAGAAAATAGGGCTGGTTAAGGAGAAACAGCACATTAAAAATAATCAAATATAGTAAGCATTCACATACCACTCTCCATCATAACATAATCTGATTATTATTTCAAATCTTAATCCTTACAATAAACAAGTCTTGAAGAAACTAGAACCACTCAAAATGCTCTCACTCTCATGGGCTAAAACTGAAGTAGTGATATGGGCTCATACACAGTATACATAGACACACAGCACCAGAACACACAAGTAGTGTGTGCTCATGCGTGCAGAGAGGTTAAAGGTGAACACAACAGGGATTAACCTACATGCTCTCACAGAACTTAGTGTGAGTGCTGGGTTTGTCTTGGTTCCTGCGGTTTCTAAACCAGCGCTGGACCTTTCGCACCTCCCAGTCCAGCTGCTTCGACAAGCCGTCCAGATGCCGAGAGTCTGGAGACTGTGCCGAGAGAAAACAGGGATGAGAAGACAGCTTGAACAGAAGAAACAGTTCCCAGTCCAAGCATATTACAGTTTATTTTTATATCAGAGGCTCTGAAGATAACACTCTCAGTGGGAGTATAGAAGTCAGAGAATAAAGAAATCCTGTGAAAACTGCAACAAAGAAAGGGAGACATTTAATAAAAACTATTACAATCGGGACAGAAATGTGCATAATATCATAAAATATGAATCACGCTATCGGTGCCCAGGGTGCAGTTCCCCAGTGGATTGTAGTCCATTAAACAAAATTCATCACATTAATCTTATTTTAAAGATAACTTTTCAAAATTCAAAGAGCTTTACACAGGCTGCATTTTAATATGGATTTATTCGGAGAGGTCTGACTTGCTGTTCAATAAAAAAAAAGGACAAAAAAGATTCCTCAGCCTTAACATCTATTGTTCAATGCAATTATACATAACATGTAAATTAGACAGTGTTATAATGTGAACGCAGCTTCACAGATGATATCAACCATAGCTGATGCTCCAGAGCATTAACTCTAATATGATGCAAAGAAAGAAGCAGACCTTTGTGATGGATGTAAACACTTTCTCCAGCACCGCATTAGAATGAGCTCTTCGTCCAACACCAGGGTGGATGAGGAGGCTCCGGGCACAAGGGCTGGCAACACACCTGAGGCAGAGGAGAGAAGGGGGGACGTTAAAACATCTAACTGGAGGCTTACAGGAAGTGCTTCGCTCACATTTTAAACATCGACGGGTGCTGAGATGAATAACCAGGGAACCGAGGAAATGTGTTCAATGAAATGTGAACATGTTTTTATTTGTACATGCGTGTTTATTATTTTTGAGAGAATAGCTGGAATACAAACAGCCACATAATGAAACAGCTTACTGTATACACCTAGTACAAAATAATATACACAGCAAAATGAATTATATTGGTGCACATTCGGTTTTTTCAGTTCAAGTTCCCAGATGTTGTGTTATGTGAACATATTTGAAAACGATAGCTCTTTTTTTTTTTACATTTGGTGGTATGACATGTTCACCAGTAGTAATATTAAATCTGTGCATGCATATTAGCTCCTACCAAAATATGCAGACACGTGCCAGTAAAGGCAGGAAAATATTATAATTGTTTCCAGATAAACATGTTTGGAAACAATGTAGGTTTCAAACTTTTAATAAAATAGGCTTTGCAAATAAGAGAGGAAATGCTGAATGTAAAAATAACTTTTGTTTGTTCACTCAAATATTCAAAAGGGCACCCTTAAGATGCAAAACAGCAACCACTGAAGTGCTACTCCCACTGTTGCGTCAGCTTGCTTCCAGCTCAGGCCCAGTGTGCAAAACCTTTCCTGTTATTTCAGAAAGAAAATACACAGAGCGTGTTTTTTTTCTGCCGGCAAATTCACCGGCATAAAGTTTCAAGAAAATATTGCCATTATTGCATAAGCCTGTTTGGCTTACATCAGATAAATAATGAAAAACAGTTCAAACTAGCTGAAGGGGAGCTTTTTTAAATCCCCAGTGATTCTGGGATGTCTCCTTCGGCATAGCAAAATGACGACCTTGTTCGACCCCTGCCTGTACTTCTGTTCTGCATTATGACTGCACAGTCCCTTTTCGCTGGGAAAGAAAGCTAAGTATTAATGCTTATATGAACAAAATCAGGAAAGTTCTGGGACAAACAGATGCCACATAATGTGCAAAACGAGCTGTCGTAGTCGAATTGTGCTTGTGCTAATCGATAACACTGATGTTCGTTCATAAATATTTATTTGTAAACGATTTTTTGCATCTCCATAGAGGCCATAAATCTTTATTTTTGTGGAAGGCATAGCTCAAATATAACACAGATAGAATACAGGCTAAAATAAAGCAGCCAGCTGTGAGTCAGGTGCATTCAGGTTCAGTTTTATGGGTCCGTTTTGATACACGAGCAGACCGCTGGGCTGCGACAATGGCTCTCTGTGCGCAGTTACACACTGACCTTCCAAGACATCATCAAAAAGCAGGATGACAGGATAATTAATAAACAAGGACAATATTTATTCGTGTCACACAACATGCCTCAAAAGTGACAGTGAGTCACCCCCCCCCCCCTACAACAACGTGAAATGTCACTGTACTATTGTCTCATTCAGCTCTCAGAATATAAATCAACTGAAAACATGTTTATAAACCTACACGCTACTATTATTTTATACATGCAAATGTCAGTTTTGTTTTGACATCAAAGTTCAATATTCAAGACTTGTTTTCTGGGTTGTGAACAGGGTTATAAACAGGGGTGCACATAACTTTTTTGCCCTGGTTCTCAAAGGAGCACCTGGAGATGTTGCTTGGTGCTCATCCTTAAAATGAAATAAACCGTAACTTTTGAGGGGGTCTTGACTTTATTTGCCAGACACACGGCACTGAACACACATGCAGAGGTGAACACAGAACACACATGCAGAGGTGAACACAGAACACACATGCAGAGGTGTAGCACGACCAGTTATCCTACAAACTGTCATCACTACCCTCCTGACTGTTCTCCTCTCTGTCAGACATGGTAGCTGATGATGTAGGCCTACTTCTTTCTCTCTGGTTGAGTCTGCGATTAGCTGCTTGCATCCACAAGTCAACAGCTGGTTTTGGGTCGAAAGTCTCTGTTGTCATCTTAGACAAGTGGATGTAATCAAATAAGTATGTGAACATAACCAATAACCTACCATAGCCAATAACAAATTAATGTAACTTATTTTATTTATGTTGTTCATTCATATCTTATTTTACCTTAACATTTATTTATTTATGCATTTTTTTTTATCTCTCCAGTTTTAAAGGATATTTTTGGTTACTGTCCTATAGTATACATTGGAATGATTTCAAACCTGTTTATCCCAATAATTATAAAGGAGAGCCTTGGAAATATGTGTTTACATAAATTGTGACCAAACCGTTTGAACTTAGACTAAAGTTAACTATCTAAACCAGGG